TTATGCTCCCAATGCATCTCTGACTTCCCAGTTCAGTTACTTGCAATGTGCATCAGACACATATTTTCTTATGAGAGACTTTTTTTTTAATGTTTTGTTAAGCAACTAGTTCTCTCTGCAGTGCACCGTTCTAAGAGAAAATTTCCATTGATTTGAAGTTATTTGAAGCTGGATTTGGAATAAGAAATATTTGAACACTTCTGAAGCTGTTATGAGAAACACACTTTGTACAAATTTCTTCCACAGAAATACAAAGTGGCTGAAAGCCATAAAAAGATGTGAAATTCTTCGATGGCCATGCAGCACTTGGCAAACCCATGCTGTTTGTCCCCTTATGTATGCTTGTAATTCTTGCTCTCTACCAGGATCATAGTTATAGATACTATGGGAATGGCAATTTCACCTAGGCTGTGACTCCCCTCAGCACTAAGCAAAAGTTTTATTCTCTCTGGTGCTTACATCAAGAGCTTACACGGTATTTAAGGATTTTGAGGGTCTTGTAGCTCTGGACTCAGGGGCAAAATTCATCCAGTGTACTTAGCAGTTTTTTCCATAGCTCTTCTACAGCACTTTCCTTCTGAGGATACAAAGTGATTTGCAAACATTAATTAATTTTCATAAAGCCCTATGAGGCAGATAAGTGTTAAGTATCCCTGTGTTAGTACATATGAGAAACATGAGACCTGAGTGCCTTATCATCCATGTTGTTCACTATATTCGCTCCCAAAAAGGGAATAAGTGCTTTGGGACAGAGGAAATCCCCCTTTTTTCCCCTAATTCTGTTATTTCCCTTGGACCCTCTGGAATCCTTCAAGGGCAGCAGCGATGAGGCTGGGCTTCAAGCTACGATGTGTGAGATTCAAGCTCACAGACTGAAAAAGCAAGTGAGCCTTCCTGTATTTGCTGCTGGTTTGGGGGCAAAAGCAAGGCCCTTTATGCAACCTGTGAGTTACTTGCTCCGTGCTCCAGCACCTCATTTAAAAGGTAGCTTGGACTGCCAAATTATCAAACACCCCTGAAAGTGCAGGCATACTTGTGGGCTACCAAGAGCAACAGAGCCAGACAGCAAATGGAGGGAGAGGAATAGCCCCAGCTGAAGAAGTAGCCCCAACTGGATGCTACCTGTCTCACTGAGGAAAACTGTAGTCTTTTGAAAGAACAACAGAGCCCTGGATTCTCTAAATCTTAGTGGTTTTCCTCTATGTAGCTTTAGTCAGGTTAGCACAAACAGGGCCTAAAGTGACTTTCCCAGTTTGTTAATTAATCTTAGGAGCAATTTACAGCACGGCGACCAGTGATGCTGGAAATGGAGTCTTGGCCTTACTGAGGGCAAACAGGAGCTATATGAGACATATCAAAGTAGCCAAATTTTCATGCTAACAATATTGGCTGAGAGACGTTGTTCTGTATTTTTTGAGACAGATCATCCAAATGCTTTTCTGAAAGCATTCTGACAAATTTTCTGTGGTTACATGCCTTCCCAGCCCTTGGTGCACAGTACATAAGCTAACGTAAAAATTATAATCATGATACTTGTCAGACCAACCAGGCCTTTTTAAGACATGAAAATCAGACTAATTCCTTAGTTTCAAACACAATGAGTTCAAATATGTGTATGCTAACAAAAATATACCAAAATGAGAGGCATGTTAGATCTGCACCAGCCAAACTTCGGTTGTTACATTAACAACTCCATATTCTTCAAGCATTGTTTGTATTTCTACTGTACCAGGAGATTTTATTCTTCAGTTTGAGGATTCTCCCTGAATGGGGGAGGGAAATGTTGCTATCACTCTGAAAAAGAAACATTTCTTTCTGACATGTTAAGCATTAAGAGGATTATGTAAAGGCAAGGCATATTGCAGAAGGAGATGTTCTTAATATAGCTTTTACTATGAACCCATGACCCACCAGAAAATTTAGGAGAGTTAAAAAAACATATTGCTTTGACAATCTTTTAATTTTAAAAAATCGTCTAGTAAAAAGATCAAGGAATTCATCCACTGTTATTTACATAAAATTCAACCTTTCCTGCCTAAAATCATGAATCATTTAATGTCACATCTGCAGGATCTCTTAGGCAGATGCCATTAATCCAAGTCATTTTGCAAATTCCAATTTCATTTGGATTAAAAACTACTACTAAGTCAATGAATAGTATATACTGAACATGCATTAAGGCTGGTGACTGCTAAAGTCTCTTGGGTAGATAAACTAAGTACAGATTAGCCAGGTCTAAGTATATGTTCTCATCTAGGGAAGAAAAGATATCCTGACATTTCAGTGATGTAGATTTGAATCAGTAGCCATGAAAAATGGTTGAACAATTGTATTACAAAAGAGATACTATGGCACAGTCCCAAAGGTGCATTTTGTATAAATTAATTAGCTACACAGATTATTTTGACAACAGCTACTGCACTTCTGAGGTGATATGGCTGCTCAGTGATGAGTACTTGATGATCAATGGTAGGCACTAGTCATATCCTTCATGCCGAGTGACTTTTATGACTATTTAGATTTACAGTATATACATATGTGTATCTACACTTAGGGCTTGATCTTCTTAATCTCCTTTACCTATGGTCCTCTGTTCACTATAATCTCTTCCTTTGGAGCCCCGTGGTATTTGGACAAAAGAAATAGGCAAACGAGTTTTGGGTACCTGTCGTGTGACTGGGAGGACATGTCTGACTTTTGGCCACAATTGAACCTCGGCATATGCTTTGTTCTTACCTGTCACTCATGCCACGATGGAATACTGTAAAGGATTAAGGCCAAGGAGTCTGTATGATCTTGCTCTCTGTGAAGATCCTATAGGCTGTTCTGCATTTGTCACATCCACCTGCAATACCTAATTCCTTTGAATCCGTCCCATTTCTTTACCAACCCTTACTGCTTCAGAAGCCTCTGTAAGCAAATTTCTCCTTCCAGGCATGATCTGGAAAAGCGGAGACTGAGGGGAGACCTCATTGTGGTCTTCAACATCCTCATGAGGGGACTTTGAGGCGCAGGTATCGATCTCTTCACTCTTGTGACCAGTGACAGGACTCCAGGAAACGGCATGAAGCTGAGTCAGGGGAGGTTTAGGTTACTTATCAGGGAAAGGTTTTTCACCCAGAGGGTGGTTGGGCACTGGAACAGGCTCCCCAGGGAAGTGGTTACAGCACCAAGCCTGACAGAGTTCAAGAAGCATTTGGACAATACTCTCAGACACATGCTCTGATTCTTGGGATGTCCTGTGCTGGGCCAAGAGTTGGACTCGATGATCCTTATGGGTCCCTTCCAACTTGGCATATTCTGTGATTCTGTGATTCTTCTGGATTTGTACAGAATGACTTCTTACTTTCTCAAAATGAACCTGGACATTGCTATGGCACAAAGAAGCCTGCATATTCCTGGACTTCCACAACAGACTAAAATGAGTCATTGTTTTTCATGGAGCCCCAAAGAAAGACAGTCTCCTCTGGTCCTATCCAGAACACACTGAGTGTCTCAGTGTGAAGAGCCTACTATTATTCAGGTTCTTAAGGTGGAGCATATGTTTAACTGGACCAGACCTGAAAGTCACATGCACTTTTTCAGACCAGGCCCTAAGAAGATCAAATGAAGTGTTTGTTGTCACTGTGCCACATTCAGTCATCTAATCAGCCACAACCCTCAGGCAAATAGCCTGAACAGAAGAGTATTCTAAATAACCTCACCAAAATAGTATAGCTGCAAGAAACCCTATGGAGAGAAAGCCAAACCCTCTAATCCATTAATCCTGTTGAACCACTAGAAATTAAGGCTCAGCATTCTCATCGGACAACACAGATGATGCCTGCACAAACACTAAAAACCAGTGTGTTTTTCCATGGAAACAATGAGTATTCAGCCAAAATAATTCAATATGAGAACAACATACAGGAAAGAACAATCATCTGCAAGAATCCTTAATACTTGGAAATGTTACAACAGAACAGCATTAATTCTTGCATTTCTTTGAAGTTTCTTGACATATTATATACATATAAAGAGTTCATCATGATTAATAAAAATATCCCGATCTTAGTAAAATAAACATGCTTCAAAGTTCCATATTTGAAACTCAAATGCCACATGTGCAAGAAAACTAAACTCCATTTAAGGCAAGTAATATATGTCACTTCTAAAATTTCTCAACATTAAATAGCAGAAAGGGCTCCCAAAACCCCAAACTTATCTGAAGATAAACATCATAGGCACCGTCAAAGAAAACAAAAGCTAATCTAACTGGAATTTCACTTTCCTGATCTGAGGAGAAATTCCACAGTACCTTCATATGGTATTGAAGCAGCTGACAGAATCTGTTGCTACTAGTCTAGTATATCCTGACAGACTTCCACAGCTGGAGATTAGGCAAGTGATAAACAGAAAGGCACCGATCAAGTTCTCCACGATACTTGTGACGAAACAAACTGTGTTCCTTCTGGGATGGGTAACAGCCAAGGTTAAGAGTGACAGGAGGATTCAGAGGTTGTGTATTTTGTCATTTAAAGGCATGTATGTGTTCACTCTTAGAGCCAGCCACCCTCTAACACTCAAGTCCATGCTAAGAGGTGACCACAGCTGAGCTCAGGACTTCTCTTGTGGGGGAAGTATCTGAGCACTGATGGGCACATAAATATCGTCCCAGGATGTCTTGGGGCTGAGCAGCTCCTTGGTAGCTACCCTGCTGAGGTGCTCCAAAGAACACAGTGAAGGCTCTGAGCCTGAGCAATAGCTGGAGTTATGCTAAGGAGCCTTGCCAAAATCAGAGCTATGTGGGGCTCAGGGTGCTCACCAGCCCATCTTTACATACAACCTGTGCTACCAAAGACATTTTACTGAGAAATCATGCTGCATTGTTTGGTACCTTTCTTCAGAATGCAGCTCTTCAAAAATGAGGGAAGAAAAAAAAGGCAGTAAGGACCATTTAATCAACCATTTATATCAGTAGCTACTTCTACCTGTATCTTCTATTGAAAGTGTCTTTTGTACTCAAATTTCCTTAATATGTATGTAAATGAGATCAGAAAACAATAACGAAAGGGTCTAACTAGTGACTCAGACAAGAACAGTCCATTGGAAGTCACTGGAGCTGATGATTTGAGTAAAGGGTGCAAATCTGATTGCAAAAAAATTATATTTCCAATACAGAAAAACATCCCTAAATATGCGAAAATCACTTAAAATGAACAAAAATGCACTGAATGCAAGCACAGTTGATATGAACTGGCCTTGACCTCAGCTGACCCAAATTAAACTCCAATTATTATGGGATTAATTCTTCTGGCATGAAAAACACAGCCTGTCAACAAGAACTGAAAACATCCCATAAATCAAGAAGCGTTAAAGCCTAGTTGAGGATTATGCATGGAGAGTGAGAGGATTATGATAGGAAACAGTTCTTAGCCTGATGAGCAGCAAACTCAGCTTCCCAGATAAAGGAAATTGCATGTAATGCTCCCATACAGCTTGGAAGAAAATGTTGCAAGCTTCTGCTAGATGAAAAAGATATGAAAGTCAAAATCTGCAGGATGGAGCCTTCCCATGGAAAGCCAACAACTGTTATAAATATCTGTCTCTGTGTGTGTGCAGCTGAAATTAACACATTTTCTTTCCTAAGTGGATTGCTGTTTGCCATATTTTTTCATTATCTATTTACTGTCAGTAACAAAATGCAATTTTCCACTGTCTCTTTTAAGTTCTTGCTATCAGCATATCTGTTTTCAGGCCTTTTGCTTGGTACCGTAGGTTGTACTGTTGGTGAGGAACTGAACAAGAGATAAAGTTACTTAAAAAGACAGGAGATAAAGAAACGCATGCAATTTGTTGAAACTTATTGCACATGAAGGAATGCCATCTTTGTCTGACTTAATGGGGCTACACAACTCCTCTCTGTGCTCCAGTGGAGAAGTAACAGGGAGATGGCACATTAATACTGAAACTTCTGTGACGTGCCCATGCTCGCAGTAAAAGTTCTCCATGTCTATAATTTGCCCTCATTCATTCCAGTTCAGGAGAGCCCTTGTGTATGTGCTTAAGCTCTGCTGAAGTCATCAGGATTTCAGTACCAGCTTAAAGTTAAGAATCTACTCTGAGCTTTCCTGAATAGGGATCTGTGCTTATTGCACTCGGCTCAATCAACTCGGCTCAATCAAGATTTTGGTTTTTGAGTTTTTTAGTACAAGAATAGAAAGGGTATGTTTTGTGCATCAAGATCAGTTCTTTATAGTATTTCTAGTGTATGAAAATGTTTTGAGAGTGATGTAGAACAAACAATTCATTCTGAAGAGACATCACTGTATATTGTACCGCTGCACACATACATGTCTACAGTCAGAAAAATTTTGCTCAGTATTGAAGAAATATTCACCTTTGTTTGGATCAATGCTGTGGCTGACTATTTCTGTAGCACAGTGTCCAGAATAACTGAGTTATCCATGAAAGGTATACTGTCCATGTGAATGGCAAGCAGTCATTATGACAAGTGAGCACTATTCCGCACCCAGTGAAGTCCTTGCTGAGTGTACTGAACTAAATGCTCCATACTGCTGTGCAAGGTGATAGGTCCCATCAATGCATCCAAATCATTAAAAAAATCTGCAGGAAAAAAAAAGATTCAGCATCAGAAGAGTGAACCTTTATTTGCTACTTGTCACCCTTTAATAGATTTTATTCTCTTGCAAATTGAGTCAAGCTGAACATTTCATGGGAATGAAAGTTTAGCACTGGTGAGATTAATTTTAAAGTGCCGTGGTTCATGATGTTACAGGCTGATGCACAACAATTTTCTTTTTAAAGAACAAAACAGTTCTTCAGCTTTGCTTTTCAATAATTTCCATTGAGTCTTGATAAAGCAAACAGATGCTGGGCAAGATTTATTCTGAGATTAGGGACAACTAAATCAAAAAGTCTACACACAAGTGTCTAATGATACATATGTGATATGCTAGATATTTAAGCTACCATGACAGAGAAACAGAGGCCCGTACAACATGGTAAACTCAGCCTAAGGAGTAATTTGGCTAACTAGACACTAGGCATTAGAATAACAGAATGGTTTGGGTTGGAAAGGACCTTAAAGATCACCCAGTTCAAACCCCCATGCCATGGATAGGGACAATGCAATACTCTCAGGCAGTTGATATGCACAGCGTGGACTGGAGATCTAACATAGGATGTACAGGAGACAGAATGGCAGTGCAGGTATGGACACCTCAAATGGCATTGGGTGGCTGTGGTTAGCCACATGGATTGTATCTCTGTCTCCTTTTCAGGGTGAACTGAACAACACTGAACTCTGCTGTTTGTATTGAACAAAGCTCCATCAATTGCAATGGGAGATGAGCCCCCCAACTCACATGCACACACCTACACTTAGGTGTCCTGTTTTGACTTGAATTCTGCCCTTGTCCCTGCCTTAAATACATAAATTATCCTGAAAACCAGGGAATAATTTACCATCAAGTCAGATGCTGAGGCATGTGCTCATGGAAACCATTTCAGAAGAAGACAAGTTTGCACTGAAGAGGGAGTGAAGCACCTCACTGCCATTTGTGTACGCTTTGGATGGAGGGAGGGCTAGGGGCTGTTCATTCCTTCTGCAGAAAGAAATTCTTCTCCTGCTTTTTGACGTGGTCTGGCTAAACACATCTCATCCACGTCTGCGACTTTGGGGGCAAGAAGCTCTTTCTCTCCAGAGTGACACAGATGGCAGTGAGTGCCACCCACAGCTATGTCTGCAACTGGTCTGTCACAAGTCCTGGCCACCCAAATAAAGGAAAAAATTAGATTCTTCTAAGTGAGATAGCAATCAAAATTGCCTTTTTGGGCTGTTTTGGAACACACTATGAACAGACCAAAGGAGAAAAACACCCCTGCATCCCTACTTTGCAGACAGGTTTCCTATCAAAATAGTTATTTTCCTGATCCAAATCATGTAGCAGTCTTCTAAAATAGCCCATTGCCTTGCCTTGCTCACCTCTGTTTTCCTTGGCCAAGTTGTCAGCCATCTCCCAGTAGTCATAGCTGTGGAGGATGCTGTTGGTGATGCTGACGTGGTTGGCGGCCATCTGATGAATGCGCTGAGGAATGCTGATGATAGGAGATGGGGAAGGGGCCCCTGTGCTCCCCTGGGATCCTACAGAGCTGACTGGAGATGGGCTGGGGGACATAGGTGATGGAGTTCCTGTGCTCCTAGAAACAGATGTTAATACAGTTATTTAAAAGGTGTTGGGATTAAAATCACCAGAGTATCAGACTATACTGCAGGTAAGAAAATACGGTTTCTGACTGCCAATCTGATGTGAGTTTCTGTGCAACTTACTTTCCACTGGCACCCCAAGGAGACGGGTTCTGTGCAGATTTTGATGAATTCTGGAAAGGAAAGAGTAACTCACAATGCATATAATTTATATAAGACTACAAAATGAAAACAGTAAAGAGTGTAAAAATACAGAAATGTAAAGAAAATGAGGTAATTGCATCTCATGATGCAATAAATCCAGTCAGCCTTTTTTTGGTGTTGCGATGAAGCACTGCTGCAGAACAGACTTGAATCATAGTCTATTAAACATCCTGGGATAGGGGCTGATTAGGAAAACACATTAGCTGAAATGGAACCTTTCCACAGAAATCCTGGGAATTCAGAAAAGTGATGTCAGGGCTCTGTGAAGTTTAGGCTGGAATTTCTTGTGATGGAAAAAATCAGAAAGCTTTCCTCCTACTCTCCTGCCCCCACTGACAAATGTCATTCCTCTAGGACCTTCAAGACTGCAAGTCTGCTCGGCTTGGCTGACCACAGAGATGTGAATCGGGGCTCCCTCAGCTTATGTAGCTGTTCTAACCACGAGGCTCAAGAATCTCCCTCACAATTGCTCCTCTTGAGCTGTTTCCCTTGGTCTGAACACAGCAGCATTCACAGAGTCAGAGAGACTGCCTGTGTAGACTGGTGGTTTTCCTAGCTGAAGGATTCCCCCCCAGAATTCCCCAGAAGGGGACATTAGATCATTTAGTGTATACCTGGAGTCATTAAGACTCTATCTGGTATACTTCCTTAGACTAAAGAATTTCACTGCTTGCGGAGAGACCACTTTGTACAAGCACTGCATATACAGAGCAGGATAAATCTAGGTATCAGCAGTAATGGAGACTGGATACATAAAATGATTCTAGTATTTAACCTGCAAGAGCTGAGGGGAATTTACTGGCAGGTTCCTGCCCACTTGACCTGTGGAAAAACTCCTCCCCTCTCTCAAGTGCAGTGACTGATTTAATCCTGGGCCTGTGAGACAGAAGGATGTAAAAACCAGAAGTCTAAGAAACCAAGCTTTGCTAGTCCATCCCATCCACAGCCTCATATTCAGCAATGGCCAAGCTTTGATTCTTTAGAGGAAAGTGACCTCCTTGCATTCTCCCCTGAAACTGTATATGCAGGTAATTGTGTGCTGGAGAACAACCTTCCCTTCTTGACATCCATGGGAGAACAAGCAAAGTCCTGCAGCTTGAGATCTGTTTATGGATATTGTTTTAAATGCAAGGATGCAGGTGTTGTAAACTGCAGGAGTTACAAGCAGTAACAGAAGTATAAAAACTCTTGGTCTCTCATGGCTTAGGAAGGAAAAATGGTAATCAGACGTTCATGGATTTCAAGCCAGGAGTAATCCCCCAGGGCATGTACTCTGCAAGTTCTGTTTTCCACCAATCATGGAGCTTTTACAAGAAGCTAAATTACTTTTGAACTGTATTTTATTCTTTTTAAAAGGGATAGCTAGTGATGTTGAAATCCTAAGACACTATTTATCTTCCTTGTTGTCCTGTGTCCTGTTTTAGTGTTTTGCAGGCCTCACAGTTAGAAAAACAGACACTGTTTCTCAGTTTTAAGGCTGAATTTTCGTAACTTCAGTGCTGGCTTTTGGATTTTGTTGGTCCAATGCCAGCAAAACTGCATGTCATTTGATATTATCAGTTCCACTTCCATATGCACAATGATTATATCCTCTTAATCTGTTCTGCACTAAGCTGGACATATCTCCTGAGCCTCTCTTCGAATATGTTTGTTGTCTCGCTTTTGATGCGTCCTCTGAATTGCCTCTTGGGTTCTCATATCTTTCATGGGCACCCCAACATTGGCTGTATTTTAGCAGTGATCACACCAGTACCATATGTGCCCTGGCATTCTTCCTGCATTTTGACACTGGTCTTCTACGTCCCAGGTAAATGATATGACAAGTTAGGTTTTGGGGTTTTGGGGTTTTTTTTGGCAGGAAGGGCTAATGTGTGAAAAGAAAAGGAAAAGTTTTCATTTACCATCCTAAATAGAACCAACGTGAGAATCCTTGGCATTTGTTCTTCCTGCAGAATAGTTTAATTTCCCCCCCTTTCTTTTCTGATCTGTCGCAGAGCTACTGGCCTTCATCTTTCTAGTGTAATGGAAACTGAGTATACTTGCAGAGTTGGAGGCAGGAAAATATAGAAATCAAAGTAGAGTCAAGGATACTTCCACTGTACATGTAACCAACCCCGCCTTACTGTACAACTTCCCCTACATCTTTTTTCCTCATGTTTTAGGTATATTGTCCAGCTTTATCTCAGTTCTGCACCAGAAAGGTGGGGGTAAGGATTCGAAACAGTGTAATGTTGTAAGGGACCATCTCTTAACCCACTTTGCCTACTGCTAACCATCTTCCTGGTTTCTTTACACTTTCAAATGTGCCTGCCCCCTGAATATCTGTGCCTTCTTTTTAATTCTCTGCCGCATTAGTTTTTTTTAGAATGGAAATAAAAGACTTAAAAGGAGATTTAAATAATAATTTTTTATTTTCTAAAGGAAAAGTGTGTCTAATTTTCCCTGCAAACATGTGTGACAAGGTTTAAAATCTTTCTTTGATTGATAATATATGTGGAAGTTCTTAATGCAGTCAGCATTTCGTGTAACTTGGTTTTGAAAGCTCTTAAGATACCAAATATGAAAGGAGTAGAGAATTGGCTTGTTTTCCACTGAAAATTATAGCAAATGGATTTTTTTTCCATTTTTACTTTCGAAGGTGAGAATACTTTCTAATGTGAAACTATGCTATCATTATATCAGCAGGAGCTCTGAAAAAAAACAAGCTCTTCTTGACTACAGCAGAGTGTAAGTCCATTTTATGTTTTCTGTGAAACAGTTTCTGTCTGCTAGTAGGAGACATTTTACATGGTTGAGAGCCTGACCATCCTTTTCTTAATGCAGCTATTCTCTGAACTGGTAAAGAAAAATAAAGTACTGTAATAGGTACATATTTCTTTCCCCTGAAATCAAGTCATTGTTAGAGAAACATAAAGTGTTGAGTTATATATCTTGCAAGATTTTTTAAGCAATTACATTGACTTCAATTTCTATTTGACAATAACGGATCTGTCAATTCCGTTCACTGTCTTCACATGTTCAGAATCTGGTCATGAGCGTTCGTGCTTGTATTTGAATTTTTTTATTTACAAAATGTCAAAGGATGGATGTTTTTCATTTCAAGATTCCTCAAATCTGCAAAAAAACCCACTAGATGAGCCCTGGGTTCAAAGACTGTCCAGGTCCCCCAAAGCAGTTTGTCTTAAAGTACTTGTATGTTCATACTTTTTTTAAAAATCAGGATGATAAAGGCTTATTTTTGTGTTTGTACATCAAACACTGGATGGATTGACTGCTAGGTGAGCTCCACTTGGAAGGTTTTGCTCTTGATGTGCTTTCCAGGAAAAGGTTGCCTGTCAAAATCTAGTAAAATACTTTGAGGGACTTCTGGTATTTTTCAAAATAACCAGTGTTTGGACTTGGCAGAGAGTGAAAACCAGAAGCAGGGGAAGCAAAGTAGGAAGGAGAAGCCAACAGTGCTGTGTCAAGTACATGGCAGGTGGTCTTTTTGCCCTCTGATGCTTCTGTACAACTCCCACTGAAGACAGCGTGGGCTGTTTGACAGTTGCTTGGGTAAGAAGATGGTCCCACTGCACTGTCGTACCTATCGATCCTGCTAAGTGGAAGCCCTGCATCTGAGGACTGATCTAAAGCAAAGTCTTCAACTCACAGGTTGTCTAGTGGGAGGTGTTATCCTGGAGGAGATTCTCAGAGCAAAATCTGCAAAACCTATTCATAACAGAGCAGGACAACTGACCAAGAATAATCTGAAAGTACCTGTTTGTTAGTACAACACATTTATCATCCTTTGTAAAGGGACACAGTATGTATTTTTCAGAGAGGGGCCCTTGTGAAGACAACAGACCTGACTAGAGATCAGGTGTTGCCATGGGAGTCTATGGTAAAACTCCACTGACTTCACAGGGGAAAAAACTCAGCCCAGCACAGCTACTGTTTTAGTACAATGCTCCATCCCCTGTAATGATACATTGATCTAAACCCATGCCATAAGTAATGCACCTTGAAATACTCAATAAGCGCTTTTGAATACTTGACCGCGTGGTCTCTCTTGAGTCGGAACATCCTCCAGTACAGAAGAGCCAGGCAGCGGTAACTAGAATATAAGGGAGAGCAGAAGGTAAAGGGTGACCCCTAAACAGAAATCCCAATGGATTGGCAAGTGTGGGAATGCCCCACAGTAACACCACTTTCAAAGCAAAAACCTAGTGTGTTTTGCTTTTCCTTTGGCAGCAGAGGCCTTGTTTTAAAAAACAGTATTTAGTCCTGGAGCCAACCCAGAGCAGCAGAAGGTGCCCTGAGTTTGGAAGTGCAGACCTCTCCCCAGCTCGCCGAGCCCAGGAACTGCCCAAACCTCAGCGAACCCCTTAATTAGCAAATTGCTCCTGAAAAAAACAGTGCCAGCCAGGGTTGCTCAGCCTGCCAGTCTCCTGTCCTGAGAGCCGGCGGTGAAATCCCGGCTGTGGCCGCTGGAGGACAGTGTCTCCCCAGGAGAAGCGGGGCCGGGAGCGGGGCGGGCTGGCAGCCTGCCCGGCGGGCGCCGGGAGCAGCCGGGGATGCGGCGGCCTCGCAGCCTCCACCATCACTCTCCCTCTGTCACCTTCACAGGTACAGCACATATGCAAATGGTGTCAGCTCATCTGCTGGCTGGCAGACGGTGAGTTAAGATTGCCATTCATCGCCCAGAGAAGGCTCCGTCTGCTTTCCCTCGCGCTGACCTTTCTGCTGCTGAAACAGATGCAGCAGCTCCCTGAATTTGGATGTGGTTCCTCACACACCGAAGCGCTCCAGCAGTTCTCAGCAAGCCTTCCTAATACGGCTTTAAATATTCTTTTTTAACCATTCTTTAGTCATTCTCCCACCTAAGCGTTTTTAAAGCACTTGCCATTAATGCATTCTGTGCGCCTGCCGATGACACAGCAAACCAGTGACAGATAAAGGGCATTAAAAAAAATAGTAACTCTGAATATTTTGCTCCTTTTTATACAAATGATTAATTAGGGCTCCTTATTTATGGAAGCTAAAGATGCATTTCATTTGGATTTTTAACAGATGGTTAATAGATGTTAAAAACACACTTGCTGATTGTAAATGTCCACTTACTGAGACTCACTAACCATGTAATAGGTATTTTATGTATTAACTACATAGATATTAAATTAAAATTTGATTTTAATAACATTCTACTACTTTACTAGCAATCAGCAAGCATCCTATAGAATCTAAGGTGCTTACATATATATCTAGAAAACTCAATTTAGTAGATAATCTAAGAGGCTTAATTATCCCCATCACCATATTGCCCTTCATATAATATAAATATAATTTATGATTATTGAGCCTAAAATGGCAGCCATAAAAGAACTTAGTGAGCTATTGGTAAAAAAGTACATCACTTATAAAAACAACAAACCATCAGGCATTTAAAAATTAATTACACTGACATACCATAGCCAACCTGTCACAGTCAATAAATAAGTATGAATTGCTTATATACAGAGACAGAATGCAGACCTGGTACAGTGATACAAGGGCTGGACCTTTCCAGAGCAGAAAGTATTCTCTTAATTTCAACAGAGAACATCATTCTATCTGGCTGCGTCCAGCATCTGATTTTCAAGAACTGGCTTACTGCAGAAAAGAAGCCTTTTGAGGAAAGCTTGATCTACTAACCATAACGCTGCCAGCTGTTTGTCTTCTGGCGTGGCATTGGGGCCTGAGTGGGTTTTTAGTCTCACTGCATACCTTAAGCAAAAGGAAAAAAGCCAATGTGAGTTAACTGAGACAGCTTTATATTACTGATTAGAGAGCTAAGCTGGCCAATGTAATTTGGTCTGCCCCTTATACATATTTGCTTAAGTTACCAGACATACATATGTTTCTTCTGGTTGTGCTTCAGAGCTATTTTGCCATTAGCATGCCTCCCTGCACACTTTGAACAGCAGTAACTCCCTTGAACATCCATCAGTCCAGAGGGGAGCACCTGGTGAGGTGACACCGTCTTACCAAAATAACCTCTGCTGCTGCAGAGACCCAGTTACACAGAGTTCATGCAGAAAGGTTTTCAGAGCATTTCAAGGCAGACAGCCTGCCTGGAAGCTGGTGCTGACCTCACCCTGCCAGTTCTGAGCGTGTCTACCCCGATTTGTTCCTCCAAGCAGAGCGCAGCATAGGGGGAACATGTGGCTCAGAGCTATTTTTGCTCATATGACATTACATTCAGATTCTATAAATATTAAACATCCACAGAGGTAGCACTGCTGTTTCAAGAGTGTATGTGCTATGCAATCACAAATTGGTTTCTGGAAATCTCAGCTTCCAGCTGAATACCTGAACAACAGACAAGGTTAGGACAACACAGAGCGCTCCTGGGCTCACTTCCAGAAAAATACCTGTTTCCCATAATTAGCTGCTTGTGATTTTTTTCTTACCTTTGCTTTCAGACTTTAATCTTGATATCTGTGCCAAATTTCAGCATGAACATTTTGTTTCTACAGGCATACCTAGCAAACCACTTATTTTTCTGAGCTGCAGAAAGTGAGATCAACAGCAATTCACACCACAACACAACCACAGCTACACATATTATTGAAAGCTATGGATCTGCAAGCAAAATTCATTTCCAGAGTTAGGATCATATATTTACTACCATGAGAAAAGACAGGGCAGACAAGAAAGACAAGAAAGAGCTTTCTGCCTTTTGAAAAAAAAAAAAAGAAGAATTGCAGACATGGGGAAAAAAAAGGAAGGGAAGAATTGCAGAGATGGAGTGTACTATTCTTTTACAGAAAAAAACCTATTTGATTTTGTTCAATAACCTCCTAGTTAGAAAGCTGGCCTCAATCCACTGAAATGCATCAGAAGACAACCCTAAGTGGAATAAAATGCCAGTGGAATTATTAACATGCGGGAAAATTTTTGCATCAGCACTAAGTCCAAAATAATGCATTTGTTTTAGAAGCTTCGATCCATTATGAATATTATTAAAAATGCAAATATGTTGCTTCCTATGAACTTAATCCTGATGAGAGCTGCACGGTTGACTGTCCTGAGGAATGATGCTGTGGTCACTGGCAGTGCAACTTTCTCCACTAGTGTGTCACTCTCTTGCAGAGAGTCCCTCAGCTGCTGGGATGATTTTGATCTTTGTTTTCTCTACCAGCACTGCCAATAATGTTAATGGTCAGTACCAACTGTAATGGAGAAAAGGACTTTAGAGACATATTTTCTTCATAGGGACTGTGGATGGGACAGAATTCTACACTGTACTGTTTGGAGAGCCATGAAGGTGACTAAAAGTAGGGGTGGCTTTAGGGTGAGCTGAGCTGCTTTTGAGACTCCACTGGCTACATTAGGAGCATACACACCAAGTGGACTTTGAGTGTCCATTTTTCTATCCCTGTTGACATCTTCTTTCAGGTAACCTTTAAACAGCAATCTTAAACACATTGCAAGATTTTTCAAACTACCATTCTGTGAGAGTGTTTTGTTATTATGGATTACTATTTTTCTCTATTCAGTAGCTTGGGACTTACATCATGACACTCTTGAAGTAATTTGCAGCTCAAGTAATATAAAAGTATTTGGGTGCCGGTTTTTTTGGTCCATTTTTTTAAATTTTTTTTTTATTCTTTAAAGTTTCCTGATTTAATTTCTAAAGAAATCACAGATAATACATACACATTACATATGCACTGACCAGGCACTTATGAGGATTTCACTTCTCCCCTTCTCCTGTATGTAGGAAACTATGTGATAATGCAGATGAGCATGTTTGCACAGAGATCATCAACCCCTGAGACCATCTCCTCCCTTTCCTACCTGATGAGTTCAACTGTTTCTGAATACATGGTATAAGGGGATTTAGATTCCATTGGGCCTTGTTCCATTGCATTTCCACACTCAATAAATGATAGTGCTGCTTCTGCGTAATTCAGTGCCTTTCCAAACTTCTCCACCTAGAGGGAAAAAATAAGGACACAGAGAAATAGTGTAATCATCAAGATGTGCTTACATTTCATAGGATTTTCTCAACATAAATTGTAAACTTGACACCAGTTGGTATATCTTCAGATTCACATTTTTTTTTCTGGGAGAAAGCTAAACCCCATCAAACTCTGTGTATGAGTGAAAATCATGCAGAAGATACAGAAAGCAGAGCTGAAAAAAGCTCTGAGATATTATTTGTTCAACACTTTTGTGTCCAAAGAAGGATCAGGTCTGCCTAGGACATTCCTGACAAGTGTTTGTTAAAGCTCTTCCAGTGCTGGAAATTCCACAAACTCATCAGGCCTTTTGTTCAAGCTTTCATTAAAAAGTGTTTCACACATCTTTGCAGATGTAATTTTTTATCACCCAACAAAGAAAGGTAAATGAAACCCTGAACTAAGAGAAGAGAACTAAATACTTTGACTACTAACTCATATACAAAGTCTCATCTCTGTTACCCTGTCTTCTTTATCCCTACCATTTTCAGCACTGTTCTCCACTTGTCAGGAATTTGCTTTCTATATCCTCCTCTTTCAGGAGGATATGCTGCTCCCTCAGCATCTTCTGAGATCCTCCTTCCTTGTCCCATTTCCTCTCCTATTTTTGGTACTTCTTTGACTCTGTGTGTATATTTTTGTGCTTATAGGCATATATGTGCATATATATGTCCTCAGTGACAGTGTATATGCAAATATACACATGATGTTCATATGTGTACACTTACATACCACTTATCCGCTCTCAGAATTTCATTTTTGATGTGAAAGGAGAATCATACTAATACCTCTCTGTCCTGACTTCTTTCTCCTTCAGTCACAACTCCTGCGGTACATAAAGCCCATTAATGGACTGGATGTATTTGGCTGAAATCTGATGCACACAGTGAAAGGTTAATGGACCTTATTCTTTTCCAACGGATAAAGATTTTAAAGAGTAACTTTGGAATGGCACACTGGCTTCAATCTATTTTAGGTTCTTATATGACTCCCATTGCGATCATACCAGAGAACTTCACAAACTTTTTATTGTATTTCTCTCCCTGATGCTCCAGTGGAGGTGGAAGTGCTATTATCCCAATTTCACAGATGGGGGACTGAGGAGCAGAGAGACTTAGAGAGATTTTCAGGGCTGCTCGCTCTAAGTGCCTATGTTAAGTAATGCAGTGCCAAAGCAGGTGGTGTTGAGCCCAGCAAGGTGATTCAAAGTGCCTAAGGCACTTTGGCAATATGCCATTTCCTTCGGGATGCCTACACAGCCAGAGAGGGAAAGGAAGTACCTGCAAAGGGCAATTCACAAGGTGTAAGTAAGGTGCTGGTCCACTGTATAGGGAAGCTGAATGTGGAGGATATTTCAACCACCTAATACTGATAGGAAGCTATTCAAACTGTGTCTAGGTGACTTTCATGCAGGAAACTTCTGGCAGAGAGCAGAGAATAATGCTTGCAACTCCTTTTTTTGGGATTCTACCATAAAAACATTTCTCTCCAGGCTAAGAATTTCCTTTGCATATCAAGTGATCTTTTCCATTCTGTTTAAAGCAACACACTAAATTGCACCATTTGTACTTCTCCACAATATTTTCTGATTTAAGACTCACTTTAAAGTAATATGGAACTGAATAAACCATGGAAATTTGTGCTAATAAACTCAGGCAGAGTGTAAAATGCGGTGTTAGTGTCCTAAATTAAGGGCCTGCTTCTGCTTCCGTGGCCTTTTTACATTCTGCACAGCTGAGAAAAAAAGAGGTGAAGAAACAGAGGTTCTGAGTCACCTTTCTTCTTTCCTGATGCTCTGACAGCAGTGTTTGACTGACAGAGCAAGGCAGGAATGCAGCTACTCCCACCTGCAAGACAGCCACACTAATGCAGGGTTCCACTCCATATACTGCCATCTCAGAGACCTCATGATGCTGGCTTATCCATGGTGCTGGAGAACACAACCTTGGAGAAAGCTGAAGGATAGCTAAGCAGAGCTCTCCTGGAGCCCTGTATACTTTCTTGCACCCATTTGTCTGGAAAGACAAGTTTAGTGCTCCATATAACCTCACATTCCCCTATTTCTTACTGGCTACATTTTTAGACAGGTCAAAGCCAGGGCCAAGAATCTGTTTGTTGCAACAATACTTTGTGTGCTAGGTGTTCCTCTAGGGTTGCACAGATTCCTTGTGTGCTTCTGATTATGTCCAGAAACATCTGCCATGAAACCAGGGTTCTTCTGGCACTGAAAAGCCAAAACTCTTTAAAAAAAAGTACAAATACCTCAGCCACCAGATCAGATTTGGGGATGCAATTATAGGACCTAGTCAGCTACTTAAACTGAGAAGATAGGCATGTGGATCCCTTACACAGCCTCCATTACTATAGTTACTAATTAAAGCAAAGGGATAAACAGAAAGTTTTATTTATCCAGGCCTTTATCTCAGTAAGTCATTATTTGTTAAGTCATAGTTTATTGGGCTATGAACATTTGATTATATAAACATTTCTTAATTTAACAAGCCTAGCCATCCTTATAATAGATTTTATAATTACCCCAGCAATACTGTGCTGATGAAGAAAGTGCATCACAAAAATAATTTGCAGCAATGTAACTGGAAAGAAAATGTTCTCACCATTGCATCTGCTTTATGCTTCTTCCGTTTAGCTTCCTGCATAAAGTAATCTGCATTGCGTGGCCTATCAGGGGAAAATAAGAAGACATTTTATTATTTTCTGAAGTGCAGAATATTTTAAAGCTATTTCCCCCTTATTTTAAACCTGATTTGCAAATATTTTTTATGAAGAAAATACACTTATTGTGTAACCATGGATCTTCTATTTTCAAATTGCTGCCTGTGGAGACAATAGCATTTATGGCTGTTCTCATTCTTTAGAAGTCAGTGATTCAAAGTAAAAAAAAAAGCTAATAAAATGCATTTTTATGGATTATATAAACTGCTTCCCAAATTAGTGCAGTTCTGATCTGCGAAACGGATGTAAGCATTAAGCGGAACAAGATATTCTGTCTTTTCTTCTCCCTGGTGCCTGCTTACCTCTTTTTCTATTCCTCTCTGTACATTGTTATTTGCCTTGGCTTCACCCTCCTCTCAAAACAAGTGTGTGTTTAATCTCTCCACTTTGAAAACACACATTGAACCTGCTTGCCTCCACAGCTACCATCTCACTCTTCTCCCTCTTATCTGTAAGCGTGCTGAGAGTGCTGTTTACTTTTGCTGCCTGGAGTTCATCTCCGACTCAGTGCTGGGCTGCCTGCTGCAATTCCATTGGTGTTCCTAGTGCCAATTTCTCCACTGATTTCTCCTCAAACAGATCTTGGAAATTCCATCCCTTCCTTAATCTACCTAACCTGCAGGGCACAAATTCAACTTTTTGCTCTGTCCTTAAATTCACAAGTCCATCTGTGATCCAGATTTATCCACTCCCATTCAAACTCAAAACAAACTGATATCTCCTTGTCACCACCTCAGTGAGCTCCTCGTGGCTGAAGCAAATTTTTTCATCTCCTCCTACAAGCTCTCCCTATGGCACCTTTCTCAGTCACTATGTAGAACAGCCATTTGCCAAGTCATTTCAGACTGTAACATTGCATCTGTAAGTTGTTACCTCTCATAAAAGTCTTCACATTTCCTGACCCTGCAGATTCGTCCAGTCTCATATACGTGGGAGGTGACCTTCTTCTTTCTCTACTCAGCTAAAACATGTCCTGGTTCTTCTCAGCTTATACTGTGGTTAATGCCACATCTTCCTCTCTCTCAGAGAGGGAAGTTTTGCCTTGCAAAATAGTTTTCTCAGTATTGGTTAGAGTGTCATCCCTTTGTCCTTATCTAAAGAAAATGAGATATTCCTGAGTAGTCTGAGTTCTGATGTTTTTACCATTCATCTGTTGTACATTAACTCCGATGGGCAGCTCAGCTCCACACAGCTAATCACTCACTTCCCTTCAGTGGGATGGGGAAGAGAATCAAAAGAGTAAAAGTGTAGAAGAGTAAAAGTAAGAAAACTTGTGCACTGAGACAAAGGCCATCTCATGGAAAGCAGGGCTTTAATGTGCTTGACAGTGACTTGGGCAGATAAATGCCAGCACTCTGAACATCCCCTCTTTCTCCTTCTTCCCCCAGCTCTTTCTGGCTGAGCGTGACACCACATGGTGCAGTCAGCTGGGGTCAGCTCTCCCAGCTGTGTCCCCTCCCAACTCTTTGTGCACCCCCAGCCTGCTTGGTGGGGTGGGGTGAGAGGCAGAAAATGCCCTGAGGTTGTGTTAGTGCTGCTCAACAGTACTAAAGCATCTCTGTATTATCAACACTGTTTTGGTTATGGATCCAATATAGAGCACTATAGGAGATATTACAAAGAAAATTAACTCTATCCCAGTCCAAACCAGTCCACATTCGTAACTACTTTTTTTTCTTGAAATTGGGATTTCTCTGCACGTGTGTTTAACAACATGTTTTGTGTCAGCCAGAGAAGATGCAGATCTAAAAAGTGAAGTCAGAGGAATGAATGAGTAAAACTTTCTTGCTGATAGCAGTAAGAACATGCTCAGATTCATAACTGAGATCAATGGGGGCACAGAGGAGCCTATTGACAGAAGAGCACAGCCATATAACTTCCTTAAGAACACAAGGCTATTTGGCAATGTGTTTACTTTGTCTGTTTCTTTCTACTGATGTGCATACTGTTTTAAGGACATTTAATTGTATCAGAGAAGGTTAGTCAACCTTATTTTGAAGAGAAGAAAGGCTAAATATGACTAAACGGAAATGAAATTCAAAGTCTGCCTACTTTAAAATGATTTCTGTCCTAAAACACTGGTTGATATGAAAAACAGTTCCTTTGTTCCAACTTTCTGTAAAATATTATTCTCTGCAGAGTGAAATTTCACCTCAGCTTACTCTACCTAGTAGGTCAGCAAGGGGACTAAAGACAGGTTTGTGTCCCAGGATCTCATAACCTACTACAGCTGCAAATACTTCCTGTGTGCAACAAGATGCTAATATTATCTTAATAATAAAGAACCATCTGAATTTGGTCTTGGTCAATTATGAAATATTACACATTGAAACAGTGTTAGTTAGATACAGAAAAATAGCTATGTTTTCAGAAACACAAAAGGAATTCTTAAAAAAATGTTCTGTCTCTCTTTGTCTTGTGCAATGACCTAGGTAAGATGATTTACTATGAAGTACAAAAAAGCAAAGCAAGGCAGAGAACAAACCAGTGGTCTCATCTATCTGAAATGTTCAAAGTGATGAACCTTTACATGAGCCTTTCAAACTCAGGTCATTAAAATACATCCTTTGCAACATTCTGTCCTAAATATCACCCAGCACTGTATGTCTAATTTCCTTCTTTGAAGCATGGCAAGAGGCTGTAAAAACAATGTGAGATAACACAATGTAATTATGGTTGGCTTACTTATAAGTTAATTGTAAAATGATTTTCAACTTGCAGCAGGTTTTATTCTCCCACGTTATGATTAGCAATGGGGGTATTAGCACGAATATGAACATTACTGAACCGAGAAGCCTGCTTTGAGGGCCCTGCTGAGGGCTGGGTTAAGTGTAACGAAAAACTGAAGTCATCAGTTTGTACTAAGTCCAATTGTTGTTTGTGAAGTCTCATATAAAAAAGAGAAGCTACTAAAATGCCATGTTAAAACAAAGCATATATATTCTCCATGTGAATGTTTAGGTATTTCCATGGGAAAAATACACCACTGATTTAGAAATCAGGGGATGCCTAACAGAAATTCGCATGCATTGGGATAAAATGAATAGATTATCATTAGCTTTTTAAACAGAACTTGTTCAATAGTGTTAATAAACATGCCAAGTCAAATTCTGGTATCTTAATTCAATCTATGAAATACCATTCTTCAATTTATCACTACATCTTAATAACCTTTATATTCAGATAACTAATGTGCACATTGGGTGAAAATGGGAAGCTGAAATGTCCTATAGATTCAATGCATGGTTTTATACACTGTATAAATTTCTTATATCATTTTAGTAACAAAATAGTTTAAATTATTATGCCATGAAGTAGAAAAAGTAGAAAAAACCCCCTCTTCTATGGGCTTCTTGAAGATAAGAGGTTGCCTCAGCTCATGGACATATGAAGACACGTGAGAAAACTGATGCATAAATTAATTATTCAGGATAGCTCTTTTGCATACTGCACATTTTGTATCTATGAAGTTCACAAAAAAATTGTTAATCTTATTCTGATTTTACAGACTCTGAAGTTATAGTGACCTGGTGACCAAGAAACCATCTCTGTTACAAACATGAAGGTTCATCCAAATTTCCTCTGCAGCTTGGTTTGTTTAGTTACATTGGTGATAATCTCAGACTGGAAAATTTGCAGGCAGTCTCACTGGATGCTTATTTCAGATCCTGTGTGTTGTTAACAAGAGGCATTTGGAGGAGAAGCAAATCTGTTTTCCCACTGAAGACACTCAGAAAGGTCTGCGGCTAAAACTCTTTTCAGGTCTTTGGTCTCAACTTTGCAAAGCCCCTGCAGATGACAGCCTTGCTACAGCCTGAGAAGAGAGAGAATAGAAAAATTTCTACAGGGTTAAAATGGTACTAGGATATTGGTTGAACTGGAGTGGCTGTGAAGAGCAGAAGCAGCACTGGAATCTCTTTGTTAGGCTTACTGGTCATGAATGTAAACTGAAGTCCCAAGGAAAGTTATTCAGTGATTTCTGGTTTTCAGACAATTGAGTCAGACTCCTCTTATTTACAAGTGTATGAATCTATTGAGATCAGCACTGTCACTCCAGACTTACAAAGATAATTCAGACCTCTTTAAAAAAAAAAAAAAAATTAAAAAGAAGTCTGACTTCAAATTAACAGGTAGAAATAAGTGTTTTATCTCTATTAATAATCTTGACTGCACAAGAAAGTCTTTTGTTTCTGAATATCTGATGGTTGGTACTTTTAGAAATATAGTCCTCTTCAATAAAGCCAAAAAGGAGTTCTAATACACTGCTCTAATGCATCTCATATATCTCTCTGAAAGGCAAGAGAAAGAGCGTAAAGCATCAGCGCCAACTAAGTCAGGCCGCTGGTGAATTCTCGCTGGGATCAAGTGTCATTATGTGAAACTGGCTGCTCTTGAGGAGAATTTACCCTACTACGTTGATTGGGGAAAGCAATCAAGTACCGCTGGAACCATTTCAATGCATTCTCAGTCAACACTAGCCAGTCACCTAGGCACTGCAACAGAATCCAGCCTTTTACAGAATAACCCCCCCACGGCTAGATCTGATAGTACAAACAAGGCCAGGCTTCCTTTTCAGCAGCGGCATTCAAACCATTTATGACTTTGACAAGGGCAGCCTCAGTAGCATGGCTGGGGCTGAATCCAGGATGAAATTTATCAAACAATCCGCTACTGTCCAGAATTTCTCTCACTTGCCTTGGCACCACTTTCTCTGGGAGCCTGTCGAAAACCAGCGGGAAAGACAGCATTTCCATTGCTTGTTATGTTGTGCGGGATCCCAGCATGAGGTGAGATGGCTGTGGGCATCGTAATTACTCCCCTCCCAGAAGCAGCCTTTCAGAATTTCTGGGCTGTTGAGCTCCTAAGAGTGGTGTTACCATTACCCAGGTGAAATGCTTTTGTGTGTATATATGTTTCTCTCATCCTATTTAGCTCCATGCCATTAC